GCGACACCTCCAGTATGCAGGGGTGAAAATTAGATCTGCTCGAGTTAATTAACAGTATTATTTAACAGTTAAGTAAAGTTAAAGGCTACTTATGTTTTACAGAAATCCTAAACATAACCCTTTATCTGGATTCAGTCACTTTGTTTTCATTTCAATGCTAAAAACTAAATAGAAATGTAGAGAAATGTACAGTAAACCAGATAGATTAGTAGGTGATTACTAGGTGTTGAAAAGATGAAAAGTCTTTAAAATAATCACACACTGAACATTATTTATTTGTCCTTCCAGCTTCTAAAGATTCTTTGACTGTAAAAGTCGAAGTTCAGGAAGGAGCTCCATCTGTTCTGCTTCCCTGTCACTACAGCAAAGTATTAGAAGAGATTGCTACAGTGAAATGGAGCCGCTTTGATCTCAATCCCAGTTCTGTCCATAAACGGAGAGAAGGAGACGACCTACGGGAACAAAATCAGCAGTTCAGAGGACGAACATCAATGAGACCTGATGCTCTAGACTCTCAGAACTTCAGCCTGACTCTGAAAGAACCTCAACTTTCTGACAGCGGCGTCTACATCTGCAGCATCATTGATAAGAAAGAAGAACTGCTGTCAGATGTTCAGCTGGATGTCAGAGGTCAGTTACCTTGGGGTAGATCTTTTTCTGGATTTAACTATCAATATAGTATAGAAAAAAATAAAATAGAATGGAAAATCCCTGTATTGTCCCACAATGGGAAATTGTTTTGTTTACAGCAGCAAAGGTTACAGTAGAAGAGGTCACACAATGTGCCCATTGTTTTACAATATAATACTCTGTACTTGGAGGATAAAAAATTTAATAAACAGGACATTTTTACAAAGAAAAAAAAATGAAATGACAGCAGCGTGTTATTTAAAGACAAACTGCAAGTCCTGGTGAAGATTCTGTCATCCAGCTCATAGTTATTCCTAAAAAGTTAAAAAAACATCCACTGGACTTTGTTTCCAAGATTGAATACGCTTCAATTCCCATTCAGGAAGATTTTTCAATTCAAAACATCAAAAATAGGGTTGAGTTCAAGGCTTTATAGAGTGGACCAAAAACAGTCTTGTTTTGGTTTAGAAAAAAAGCACCAGACAAACCAGTTCACCCCTTGAGAAAATGGGGACATTTGGTTTTACAGGCTAATAAAGAAACCATAGAAACCAAAGACTGGTAATCCGTGATAGCGGGCATTTGGCTGGTGGGCGGGTCCTAATTTCAGCTTGGGAGGGCCGGCCCTCCTTAAATAATACCAGCCCCAACACCTCCTCTCCGGCCGAAGCTCCTACCTGTGACAGTAAATAACTCAAGGAGCTCAAGAAGTAATCCAATGTTAACTACCTAAATGATGCATGCAGTATACATAGCCCTTCCTTGTCATGCACATCCTCATGGTGGTTAGCATATGGTGTCATTTTCTATTTATTCAAACTGTAAAATCCTTGTAACAAACTAAATTATAATAAAACCAAAATGCTTTCTTTAAACCAAACTATGATGTTCCTCTTATATTTGGCAAATTTATGTTTGAATATTAATACATGATATGTTGCGGTGCATGGTGTTCCTAATCTGGCAGTTCAGGATGGCCGACTATGGGTAAAAAAATGTTTTTCTTTAGATTTATGGCCTAAGAGATCAATAGACTTTGTTTCAAATTGGGTGAGATTTTGTATATCCAGGCGGTTTATGAACATTCTTTGGGCTGGAAAACATGAGTCAGTGACATCTGGTAGCTAATAATGATGATGATGATTATTATTATAAATTTAATAATGTTTATAGAACACTCTACGTATATGGGCTATCTTTAAGTGCTACGAACAAAAGGAGAAATAATACAATTTTGAAAATAACACATTTAAATTGTCAAAATTAAATACAAAAAAGGTATCCTGCACACAGACTCCAGGTGGAAACATTTTGCTTCATACTTTGAATTTAAGGAAGAAAGAAAATCCCTGCAGTGATGAGAAATAGATTTTTGTAAATTATCTTTTCATTAATTATTATTAATTCACTTTTGTTATTTCTGACAGTTTCCTTGTTTCTCTCAAACCTCTGTCTTTGTTTCAACGACTCCCTTTTAGAAATGATCACTGCAGATATTTTTATTCTCTGTTTGCTCCTGACTTTATAGAAACGCTGAAAAACAACGCAAACCTGCGTCTGCAGTTGAGTTTCAGATCTGGAAAATCTCTTCAGTAAATGTTTAAATCTGCAGATCCTCCCCATGAACTAGTTTGGTCATTAGAACCTGATCTGAATATTGATGAAGGCAAAAACACAAAGAAAGGTTTGAACACGCTGTCTGCTGAATTATAAACATAAATCACATAGAACCTGCTGTCAGGATCTGCTCTGCATCTACAGACATGTTTGAACCTGTTTTAAGACACGCAGACCTTCAGAAGATCAGAACCTTCATGTTCAAAGCTGATTGGATTCTAGAAACTCTGAGAAATATTAAGATGATCCTGAGAACTTTTGCATTTTTACACTAAAATGAATCAGCATTCATGTCAGAGATCTAACTGCTCTTTATGTTTTTCTATAGAAATATTTCCCACCTGGTCCAAAGTTCTGCTGGTTCTCCTGGTTCTGCTGGTTCT